CTTTTGCTAACAACCATGTATTATGTCTTCTTGCAGTTCATGTTTAATGCTTTCAAAAATGGGAATATTTTAACTATTTTGGAAGCAAGATTTCTTTTCAACTTGTTTGGATATGTTGCATTGTGTATTGTCTCTAGTTTCTAGTAGTCTATTGACAATTCCTCAGTAGAAACTCCAACTCTGTATCACAGACGGAATGAAAAATGGTAAATTTTTTCAGGTTTCCTTTACTTGCTTTTATTTTAACAGATCTTGACATCATTTCTTCAAGGAAACCACAGGGATAGGGAGGTAGAGAGAATAAATGTGAACAGGTTGGCCAGCTATCCATCATTATTTAGTTGGTTGTCTCATTCAGCTGAAGCTACAGCATACCAAGAAATTTTAGAGCAGGAGGTATATTCTCTTTTCTAGTTCTGCAATAATACTGACCATTTTCCCACATTTTCAGTCTTATATTAAAGACTTAAACAAAGACAATCCATCACTGTTAGGCTTCTACACCCATGGAGTTCAAACTATCAGTTTGGGTTGTCAGAGTTCAGACTGGTATGGTAGGGTTTATCATTTCTGGTTAGCTTACTCAATAACATATATGTAATTTTAAAATCCTGAGAAACTTCTTTAACAAGTTGGTTCCCAGAGGTCAATTACAAAATCTGACTTCAAATGCCAACTTTATAATAATAACCAACTTAGGCAATAATAACATTTTTATGAGTTGATTTATAGTATCACTTGAAGTTTTAACATTGTTTTCACACTAAAATATCACTGTGTTGTTGGCACCTACAGATGAAAATGTATAAGAAAATGCCAAGCATGAGGAACCTCATAGTTGGTGCCATAATAAAAACTGCCAATGTCACTGTGCTCAAAGGTTGCTGGTAATTTTAAGCACAGATGAAATTGTATCAAAAAATGCAAATAAGAGGAATCTCATAGCTGGCATCATAATAAAAATTATCAATCTTGTGGTTGGCAGTCAATGTGTTAAAACTGCTGGTAATTTTATGCACATCTCAGAAGAGTTAATATAATTTAAGTCTGTATGAATTCAAATGCTGTAAGCTAAGCTTTTTTTGTTATTTTCAAATACCTTAACTCTATAATTTCAAAAGCAATGAGTTTTAGTTTACTGCAAAAATTTGCAGAGAAAAAACTGATACTTTCTCAACCAATTTTATTCAATTTTTTGGGATAACTAGTTTATATTATTAACATTCAGGTTAGTCTTCATCTCTGGGAGTGGAAGACACAACGGTTGAAGCATCATGATAACAACAACAATTTTTTTGTGTTAGATTTTTGTCATTCAGATATTGTTTTGGCTGATCCATTCTGAAGTCTTTATTGAGTTTAGTAACGATATGAAAAAAAAACAGACTTTTCTCTTTTATACAAAACAAAAAAATGGTATTGAAGAGAAGATTTTAATATTAACAGCAATTCTTGTAAAAATAAGTTATTTTACTTTCAGCAATGCATGTAGTACAGATTGTTCTATAATTCCTTTCTTTGTCAAACAAACAATTCCATCCTGTAATCCTGGTGAGGAAATGAGAAAATCTCCATATTAAAAATTATGGTACAAGCTTTATTGTAGCATTGCTGAAAATAGAACAAGTTATTTTACAAGTGTTGTCATTAAGATTTAAATTTAATTTTCTGTTTATTATTGTATCTTGCTTTGCTGAGGACAAAAGCGATCATTTCTTTTCATATGGGAAGTACACCTGAAGAAAGTCATAGAATAGATTGGCTGAAACATTGTAGGAACAAAAATAAATAAAATAATTTTTTAATCATTTCAATCCCAAGCAAAGTAATAAAGACACTAAGATGTAAAAGTATTAGAGAATATGACAAAAAGAAAACATTAATGAGAGAGAAAAATGAAAAAAACAGGAGCTAAGAAGACAAAAGATAATGATTGACATTGCATTTTAATTTTTGAAAGTCAGAATTGGTTGAAAAACAAGAAACTGGAAGAGAGTTCCACAAGTGAGAAGTGTGATTGAAAAAACTGTTAACATAGAACTTACTGTTACATCTAGCTATTTCAGTTGTAAAATGATATGTTGCTGCCAATCTAGTAGTACACTTAAATTTATAAAGTCTAGGTAACAAAAGGGAGATAGCAGATACTGGGACATCTGGAAGAAACATGGCATGTAGAACTAGAACAATCTGCCATGGTGGATGGAATAAAGGGTTCAGTTCAAAATTCTAATCACCTGAAGAATGCTGGAGTGTATAACAGCTGAAATGCTTTGAATATGGCAAAAAAGGTGAACTATAGTGTTTCCTTTTGTGAAGAATATAAAAAAAGCAGCTGAGTTTAATTTTCAAAGACTTCATTGTAATAAACAAAATCTTGCATAATATTTGATAAAAATAACATGGTTATTTTGAAAGCTTTTAATGTAGACAGGCTGGCTAAAAACAAATTTAAAGGAATCAATGTGTGTATATATTTACAAGGTTCCTCAGAGATTTCCATTTTTTTCTTTTATGATTTCGTTTGCACTTTTATAATCTTTTCATTTCTTTTGCAAACAAGTTTTTTAAGATGCAAGTAATCTTGGTTTTTCTTTTATCTCTTTTCAAAATGCTTGGGGAATTGCTGTTCAGTTAGTGAAGGTCCCTTTACAAGGCCCATTCACAAATTCTGTAAAGCTCAGAGAGTCTTTCTTGTAAATGTCAAAATGAAATGGTAACACTAATTGGCTTCTCCACAAAAAGTCAAAGGATGCTAACCATTTCTTATCTAAAACACACAGGAATTTGAAAAAGATTATTTTTCTGGATAAGTGAGAATTTGTAACTTTTGTTGACTCACAGAGGAGAAAAAGTTAATTTTTTATTCTTTGAAATATGAGTAAAAGTTGTTTGGGTATTGATTCTAACTTAAATGATTTTGATTTCTATTAAGTATCTTTCATTATGAATATTAAAAAATAGCTTCCAGAGTTCGATTTCATTCTGTTTTGACCAAAAATCACAAAAATAACTGAGTATTTTTTTGTCTTCATGACACATATTTGAGGCTTTCAACTGAAATTCATTAAATGTAGCTCAAAAGTCAAAATCAACCAAAGACATTAAACCCAGAGGTTTTGCTAATGTTTTAGACTTAAATTTCTGGTTCATTTATTTTTAGTTAAATATAATCTGAAGCCTTCATATTGTAAATATTTCTGATGAGTTAACTTCCTTTGACAGGGTACTATGGTTAAGTTAATGAAAAGCTGTTAATAAAATAAATAATTTGTTTTATAGATTTTTTTATATTCTCTCATTGATAACAATTCATTTATAAGTAAAACTGAAAAACATTTTCAATGATGCTGAAAAGTCATAAGAAAAATACTCGAGCATTTAGACAGTCTAAAATACATTTCAGTTTGTATCATCAAATCTTAATCTAGAATATTTTTAATGTTACTATGGATTAATTGAAAATGGATGGCATGTTTTAAGAAATGCAAAAATGTGTGTGTTATTTTAAAATCAGATATCAATCACAGCTTTGATTTATATAATTTTAATATTTCTAATTTTATTTCTAATATTTTAATTTTATTTATAAATCAAATTATTTAAGTTATCTTAAATTTTTATTTGGATTATTTTGGTCTCTCATGAAAGTATGATAACAGGCTTGTATTTATGCTTCAAATAAATTTTATCAATTTTCAGGATTCCTGTTTATAGTAATATAGTTAAAACTTAACATTTTGTTTGATTTGTTATTTTTTCTTTAAGATCATAGTTACTGTGAACTTTTACATAGTTCCATAGTATGTGCTTTGCCAAGGTTACACATGGTTTTAAATTTAGACTAGTTGCCAACCACTGCTAGAGAATATAGTTTTCCCTACTATTTAACTCTTAGTGAGGTGGGGAGATGGATTCTTTCCTTTTCTAAGGTTATTTGTATGAAAATGAATGCAACAAACTTGACCAGAATTAGAATTTGGTTCAGTTTCTTGTTCCAAGCTACTAACTATTGCATCTGAAACACAAGAGAAAATGGCTTACCTCCAGGATGAAAATGGATTCAGATGTGTCTCGCTTGTAAAATATTCCAAAAAGAAAATGGTGGCTGTACAATTGTATATTTAAGAAAGATCTTGGAGTCTGACAAACATGTAAAAGAATGTTTTTTAACATATGCAAATTTGAACTGTCACTCAATCTATGAAAAGTGCTTGAAGAGGTGATAGAGAAGTGCAACTGCAGTAGTGAACAATAGAAAACATCCAAATCCAACAGTGTTGTTGGATTGTTTGACTTAAGCTAATCTGTTGGTTGAAGGAAATAAATCAGGCAACATTATTACAAGACAAAAGAATTTGACTACAGCACCACCTACACATCCATTGGATGATTTGTTCTTGTCATAAGAAAAGAAACAAATGAGTTTTTTTTTTTTATTCCAGAATAGATTTGGGGAATCAGTAATGATTATGTTTTTATATCTTCTCTTACCTGACACACACACACACGTGCATATATATATATATATATATATTGCGAATTTTTTCATTTGTCACTAATATCATAATTGGGTAGAAAGCACTTTGCCTGTTAGTATTACAGACCATTGCTAATGAGTTTTGTCATCTTTTCTCTCTCTCTCACTTTCTGACTTCTTCAGTTGTAGGATGACATTTGATACTGTCAAGACTTGCCTTTCATTTGAAATCATTTAATTCTTGAACTTTTTGCAACCATTTTTGATTTCTATATTCACCAGAATCTTTTCAAATTTCAAGAATCTGACTCCATTCTTTAAAAACAGTCCAAATTCTCTGAGATGAAGTGATGCTTTATTAGGTTATATGTTTTTTTATCTCAGTTGCTTTTACTATCATTTATCAACTGGTCATTTCTCAGTTGTCTTTGGTTGAATGGAATATTTGGTGTTATCTTTTCATATTTATTAAAACACCTCTGCTGCAGCATTCATTGATTTTTTTATCTTCATTTTAAAGTGCTGCCATCCATACTTTCCCTCATTTCTTGCTCTCCACACATCTTTGCTCTCCACACATCTTTGCTCTCCTGCATTTTTCTTTCCTCTTTCTACATTCTTTTCCTTTTTTCTTCTCATAATTTTAATCTTTTCTCTCTTCGTTTTTTCCTTTTTTCTCCCCATTTTTTACTTTGCTTTTTCTCTCCCCACTTTTTTCTTTACTTTTTCTCTCCCCACTTTTTTCTTTACTTTTTCTCTCCCCACATTTTTATTTGCATTTTCTCTCCCCACATTTTCCTTTCTTTGCATTTTTTTCTCCCCACATTTTTCTTTCTTTTCCCTTCTGTTTGGATTTTTTTTCATTTTGTGGTTTTATTTCCTTCTCTACCATTGCTCTCATATATTTATTCCCTTAATTTCTCAGGCAGAGATATGCACTACTGTGCCCATTGAAGAGAAAAAAAAACTTGCTTTACAACCTGCTTTCTGACTAGATTCACAACATGTCTGAGAAAAAAAAATTCTTTTTTTCTTTTTTTGGTCATATGTTGACTTGTAACAAAATTATGTTCCTAGTAGCCACCCAACATTTAGCACCTGACTCACACACAATTTAAAATGTTGTGATGTAGAAAAGTCTATCACACTCAAAATAAAATATTTTGTGCCTTATTCTGAAGCTAAGAATAAACAATTTATTTTTCAGAAATTTTGATTGTGAGAAGTTTAATTCCTAAATCTAGATTTGTTTTATTTGCTATCATTTATCTTCCTTCTTTTCTTTCCTATTCATTTGCATTTTCTCTTTTTTTTTTACTTCACACTCACTCTCTATTATTTGCTTTCTTTATTTCACTCTCACCTTTTCCTCAGTTTTTACGTATTCTCCATTTCCTCCTCTTCTATCCCATTTGCTCCAACCTACTTTTCTCGGCAGACTTTCCATTGCTTTCACTTCTCTTCTCTACACATAGATCCCATGTTTCTATTATAATCATTAGACCTTTTCAGCTGAAAGGAAAATGTTGCTTTAATTCCTACAGACTATCAAGTAACTAGACAAAGGGATACTTCAATGATCATTAGTAGATTTTGATTAGATAATTACTCCTTGTGAGTGTGTGTGTAAAGATACGTTTGTATGCATGTTTAAACATACATGTGTGTGTAAACGTTTGTATGTGTGCTTAAACATATATGTGTGTGTGTGTGTAAACATGTGTATGTGTGTTTCAACATGACATATTTGTGTGTAAACGTGTGCTTAAACATATATGTGTGCATGTAAACATGTGTATGTGTGTATAAAAGCATACATGTGTGTGTATAAAGACATATACTTGTGTGTTTGTGTGTGTGTGCGTGTGTGCAGACATACATATGATTACTTATATAAGAGCTGGTAAATACGTAAGAAGCTATATACAACTCCTGGAAAAAATTACAGAATTACTACATTTAAATGTTCACCTATCATTTTTACTTTGAGACAAAGAAATATGACAAAAAAACATTTTTTTTTAATTTCTGTCTTTAAGAAATTACCTTAAAAATTAGATTTACTTATTTTAGTTAAAACCTTTTAATCATTTCACTCACAAGCAAGGCAATAATGCTACTAAGACACAATGGGTTACTGGGAGTGAAAGAGAATGAAGAGAAAGAACAATAAAAGAACAAGGATCAAGAAGACAGAAACTGGCGATTGACATTGCATTTAAATTTTTGAAGATTGTATGTAGCAGGAAAGCAATAAACCAGAAAATAGTTTCACAGGTAGGAAATGCAAGAAAAGAAACTATTAGAATGGAACATACAGTTATATTTAGCTATTTCAATAGTAAAATGATGTTTAAATTCATGCAGAAGCACCAAGGAGGAAAGCTCAATAGAACAGTTACCCTGAAAATATTTCTAGAAAAGATAGATGGAAACCATATTATGGTAATGGAAAAGTGCCGGAAGTTGAGATATCAGATCAGGATCAGTTACATGCCAGACCTTCTTTGGATTTTGTCAAAAATCTAGAGATGATATATAGCAAGAGCACCAGACCAGATATGGCAATGATATTCACTGTGGTATATTTTTTTCCAGTTTGAGTAGAGAAAAAAAAAAAATAAACAACATGTAATCACTTAATGAAGTAAATTTATTTGTTATGTAATCTTCTGGTTCTTCAGTGTAGTATTTCCCAAATCAAAATTGTATCTTGCAGCTTTCTCGTGTGAAGTCAGTGGACTTTGTTGCTTACTGAGAGGCTACATAGAGTCCTGTCTTGTACAATGATAAAGTCTTTGTTGAATAAAACTTGAGAAATAAATTTGGGTTCTACTACAATTTGTTCAACAAAGAAACAACTTCAAACAATTGGCTGATAGATATGTTCTTGTGAACTGGGAGGTTTGAAACCAGCTTTAATTCAAATTCTGCTGCTAAACAGTGGAAGAATTGCTAAAACTACAAAGAAACAAGGAAATAAGACTGACTTCAAACAACTGGATCATGGATAAAGTTCCTCTAAGCTGAAACCGGCCTTAATTTAAGTTCTACTACTAAAGAGTGTAAGCACTGGTATACTACATACAACAATTTGAACTATTGAGCAACACTCTCTATATAAATTAAGTGTATTTATTAATTACATTGATCCTTCCATGTATGAATATACTTCTGATTATAAAACATAATGATGCAGCAAATACTTTAAAGCCTAAAAATAATGTGTATGCAAGGCATTTATTAGCCACTAACTGGGAGAGACATTGATGAATATCAGCAGTAATAAAGCAGCTGAATGGACTGTAATTATAGGGTTGTCAGTGCTGAAAAGTTGATAGAGGAAATATGTGATGATTTTATAAGTGGTCAAATGTCTAATACCATCTGTCATCTTAAACCTATCATTGATGAAGCATGAGGTCTAGAACAGGCTGTGGGCTTACGGCAATATCATGTTGAAACAGATTCTCATACAATCACCAAAGTTAAACAATGTTGAGCCAGGTCAGTAACTAGATGGATGACTACTTGGGAATACCAAGTAAGTACCTGTAAGCTTGGATGTGTGGGTGGTATAAATGATAATGGCTTGGAATTGGAGATTGGTAAGCCAAGTTCCAATTCCATTCATGTTCATTATATTCACTTATGCACAAAGACCCTTGGAAAAGTTATGAATCTATCTCTTCTCCCCCAAACTGTGGGTTAATTAGCAGAACTTGGATCAGTAAATCATTATCTTCAAAATATTCTTACAATCTACAAATGAATTAATGTTTTTAATAGAATATAAAGAATTGGCTGAATGAAATGAGATTTATATAGAAAAAGCTAAAAGAAAATCATTAACATGCCAGTGAAAGAAAACAAGGCTACAGTTAGCTACAGAGAAGCAATTATAGAATAGTGATGATTGGATGAAAATGTTGTTTAGTGATGATTTCTTGAATCTGTATTGACGAAGGTACTAATACTGGTCAGTCAGTTATGTGCCATGCATGATACACATGCTTAGGCAATCATGTATCTTTTGATACATGACTGACAAGGCAGATTTTTTTCTGCAGTAGGTTGCCATTTCTTTCTGCGGTAGACCAGTTGCCATCCAAGGCTATAGAACCCAGTCTGTCCTGCTATTTACCCATAGCTGGGGGAGAAGAAGAGGATTCATACCTTTGCCAAGGGTATTAGCATGTAAGTGAATGTAATGGATTTGACTGGAATTCAAACTCGGCTCTCAGATTCCTCAATCTGAGCTGTCATCCATAAGTTATGGATAGGCTTGGAACAGGCTTGCGAATTTATTATTATAATAAGATTACAATAAGAGTTGAAAAATATTCAGTGAACCAATCAGCACAGAGAATATTATACACTTTTGAATATACTATTCTATCATTCTGTATAATCTATGGGCAAGATGTCAGTTGTGGGCAAATTATTAATTACAATTTCAGATGAGGTTTTTGACAAGTCTTGGATGTAATTTTTGATGTAATGTGGTATTATCTCAAAAGATAATGATAGTTGGTTTAATTCTCACAAGGTCTTATGTGAGTCTGGACTGAATCTACTAAAGTTCTTTTTTAGTAACAAATATTATGTCACCAAATGTACATGTAACCAAATTTACTCTGTAATGAAGATAATTTTGTAAAACAGCTTTCATAACTCTTCTTTCTTTTTTTTTTAAGCATTTCACCCTAAGCAAGACAGGAGTGACACTAGTAGGCAAGGGTTACAAAGAGTGAAAGAGAAAAGAAGGGTGTTTGAAGAAAGGATAAAGAGAAGGATGAGGATCAAGATCAAGACATGAAGAAGATGTTGACTGACATTACATTTAAATTTTTGAAGATTACAGTTATCAGGGAAGCAAGTAAGAAAAAGAGAGTTCCACTGTTAGGAAGTGTCAGAGAAGAAGCTGTTGGAGTAGAAGAGGTAGTTACATTTAACTGTTTTGACAGTAAAAGGGTGGGACTGAGATGCCAACCTAGTAACATGCTTAAGTTCATGCAGTTGGGGCACCAGTAAAAATAGCTCATCATAGCAGATGCCATGAAAATGTAGAAAAGACAGAGGGAAGCTACATCACATCTGTGAGAAAATGACTGAAGTTAAGATGCCCCATTGCATATCTGTTTTTGGATTTTGTCAAGAACCTCAAGATGAACAGCAGGGGCACCAGACCATATATTACAAGAGTATTCAATGCAAGGATAAATGGTAGATTTGTAGATTTGAAGGATGGACTCAGACGAGAAAAACCTTCTGGCACAACACAAAAACCAACTTGTGGTAGATCTAGCTATTGATTCAATGCAGTTGTTGTTCCACCTAAGGTCAGTGGAAAACGCGAGACCAAGAAGGCACAGAGAGACGCTCTATTTCCTTAATAATCATTGATCCATGTATGATTAATCTAATGACCATTTGTCTTAAAGTGCTTGTTTTTATTTAAATGTTCACTTAGTAAAAGGACCAAGAGCCACTCAAGTTAGATTATTAAATTAAGTTGTTGTATTGATGTAAGAAGAGGAAGTGATTATGAAGATATGTAGATTGGATACCTAGATTTGAAAAGGTTAAGATTGTAGGGATCAGGGAAGCATCTTCTCAGGAGTCAGTTCCACAAAGTAGCAGCTCTTGGGGGAAAAAACTCTCTGAGTGGAACTTCTTTCTTACTAACGGAATACATAGGAAATGAGGATGATTTGACCTTGTGTACATGGCATGGCAGGTCCTAGGTCTGTAGCAATGGAACTAATGAATGTAGCTTGTGTGAGTATTTGTCATGGAAATAACTATAGAGTAGTGATAGGCTTGTAACTTTTCATCTGTACGAAAGAAGATTTGGGTTGAAATTAATTCAGCACTAACAATGCTTTTGAATACTGTCAAAGTTAAAAAGAGAGGATTGGATAGCTCCAGCCCAGTTATAGTAGCCATACTCCAATTTTAGTTTGATCTAACTCTTGTAAGGAGAGAGCA